TCATTTTAAAGGAAAATACTCTTCTGTTGTTTTGCTTTTAGACTTTGGCCTGGGCATAATTGTGACTGAGCTGTCTCTCTGCCAAAATACTGATAATGTCAAAAAGAATTGTGTAAAATCATATTAGTACAAAAATGAAGCTCTCCAGAATTCCTGAAGCCAGAAAGACCTGGAATGAACTTGTGTCCTTCCTTGCATATTGTGTCCCTCCCTGCAAACTGTCCCTTCCACCAGCCCTCAAATACATTTTATTATTTCATGGAAATAATTTTGTGCTATTTTTTTCTCCAAACTGGAATAAAGTGAAGAGAAAATGCTTTAGAAAGATGTTGTCAAATATACAAGATGTGTTTCCTTAAGTCTGAATCCATTCTGGAGAAAAAAATACCGTGAACTTTTTACATTTCTACTCCTTTTAAGTAGGCACCAAACTTAGTGTTGTAAAAACAATGTATCACGGAAAAAAATAAAAGGAAAATATGCATTGGAATTGCGTCCAATCCCATTGATAATTAAGGTTTGGGGGAGTTTAGAAAAAAGAAAAAAAAAAAAAAAAACTAAGAAACGCGGGTGGCTTCTTGATTCTGTTTTCCTCTTATTTAAAACCAATTAAAAATTCCGTACAGTCTAAAATGAAACAAACAGGATTTATCATAGTTTCATGCTATCATAGTTTCACACTATTATATTACCCCCTGAAGCAAAAGGAAATATGTGGAGTTGTACCTAAAAATTCTATCCCTGAAAGATTTTTAGAAAACCAGTTTTGTATGTTTCAGGCTTTCAAAGGAAAACAGAACTTTGGAGTTTTCAAGGCTGTTTTAAAACAACTGGCAAGTTACCAACTCTGGATATCAGTGCAAATCTGAGGCAGGAAGTACTAAGGAAATTCTAAACTCATTCCCTCCCTCTGCAAGATTTTCTACATTTTAACGTGTAAGGTCTGTGTTACAGAGTTGTTTTGCTTTTGAAGGATCTGTACATTCACATCGTTAAGAATATCCTTTGCCCTGTGGAGGCCTCTCTTCCTTCACCTACCCCCTCTCCTTGTGTTTTCAAGTGTTTGCTCATTCTATGGCACAATCAATTGTGCTACAGCTAGACTTTTAGAGACGGGTGGCTGCAGATGGTTGAATATTCAGCCTGAAATCAATTGCAGCTGATTAATTACTCCTTACACCTGGTCCCTTCTTCATACCAGGCTCAGAACACAATCTGAGTATCACCAGCCAAGAAAATTCTATTTGGGTCCACTAGTCTGAACCCCTTTCTTCAATACCTTCTGCAGAACCGGATGGTCAAAGAAGGGGATGCAGTAAGTTCATGTAAGAGCAACATCATTAGAAACTGTGCACTGGATTGGTAGAAACACAGTGAACTTCTACGGGTGTGGAAAAGGCAGAAAGAAGAAACTTGCTGTGTGGGCTTAAGCGACTTTTTAAGTTTTATGAAGATGACTAAAGTTTTCCAAATATATGTGAGAGAAATATCTATTTCTCAGCTGAAAAATATCAATTCACCAGGCTGTAACCAGGTTTTCCTCTTTTTAATTGACCCAGTTCAACTAACTTTTTTTTCAAGTATCCCCCCAACAACTACCTCAAAAATTCAGAAGGAAATTCACCTGGGAACTCATAATTCAACAGCAACAAGTTGGTTTTTTGGAATGGGTGATAAACTACTTGAATAATGTTGGATTACAACTAGTCAAACATTTTGTATTTTGCCCTTAAGCTAATGAACTATTCTTTGAACCCTCTTTCTCTAAAACTTACAGATTATTCTGGGTGGTCCCTTCAAACAGCAAATTTGCCTTGATAAACTATTTTTTTTATCCAGCTCTTTCTTATTTAAATATTACAACATGTCAATAAGATTACTTCATTATTTGTTAAGTAATGTTCCTCTTTGAAATTGCTTCTTTTGGTAGAAAAGAATTCATTAAAAAGGAAATTGACAAATGACAACTTTTAAGATGTGAGCTGTGAAAATGCATAGGATGATAACACTGCTATACCTTATAGCTATGAGTCAACCACTGGGTTTTCATCTTAACTTACATGTACATTTTCCTAATATACAACATTTGTAAAATTATTTGAAGGGATGGAGCATAATCATATATTTTTAAAGAAGCCAAGTTGAGAGGTTGGTTCCAATGCAATGAAAAATAATAGGAGCAAAGAAGGCATGGAAGTGTCACAAGTTCTTCTCAAACTTTACTGTGTATTTCAGGGAACGGAAACATCTTCATTTATTTCTTAAATCTCATTTTCATTGTATCGTTAAAAAATAGCAGATGTATTTAGCATTATACAAGCAGAAAAAGAGTTCAGCATTTGTGCATTTTCTGAAAGAATACAGTAATAAACATTTCAATCATTTAAAATCCCATGAAGATTTTCCCCAAAAAAACTAATGACAGAAAACAGCCCTTGTGGATTGTCAGGAAAAAAACCTACCTCAATTAAGAGAAAAAATTAAGACATGACATCACCAGAATGTGATAGAATTATATTTTTTATCAAACATAAGTATTCTTAACATATCAGCATCATTTTGAAGAGCTATGATTTTAAAATTGAATTATAACTATAAGCCAAGGCTACAAAGAGTGGATTTTATCAATTCCACCCAGGCTTACCAAATAAATATAAGCAGCATGTACTTTATTTACAATTATTATAAATTATATTTTGAGGTATACATGTAGCAGGAACAAAATGTGATGTGGAAATAACCTAGTTGTTTTCCTGTCATACTGAAACATGACGGTGCTTCCTTGTATACGATTAACCCTGTCAGAAAGTCCCCAGTATCCACATTATAAAATATGATTGCACATTGACTCTTCATCTCATTTCCTCTTTATGCAAGTTTCAAAACAGGGCACGTCTTCACATCTTCAGCTTCCAGGAATGCTATTAATGTCTGTCATTTCAGAGCCACCGTAACAACACAAGACAACTTCAAAGCATTATCGACATTTTACAACATAATAATCAATATGAACTACCATGATAGGCAAAGTAGCTGATCTTACATTCCCTAGTACCCTGATCTGATTATCCAAATATCAACATAGGACGCCTAATGGATCTAACTTCTTTAAAAATGTTCCAGAAGTTGATGGCGTTGGCTAGTTTGAGAGTAACAAGATCCAGATGCTGCCTGTCTATACAACACTAAACTACATAGAACTCCAAAACAGATATCTAAAATCTCCCTCTCTATTTTTCAGGCTCTTTTCCCTCATCATTCCACTCTCCCGCTCTGTCTCACACACATACATACTTTCTACTAGTACAGCTCATCCTGCACCCCGCGTCTGAAAAAATGTGCATAACATTCACAATTTCCTGTTAGCAATAGGCTAAAATAAATCTCAAACAGAAAAACAATTATGTTATTCATTTCCATCTAAAGTTTCTTTTCTGAATATACACCATAGTAGAAAACAAGGACCCAAAATAAAGTGTAATTTTCGAAACACTTGGAAAAATTTAGCCAAATGAGTAAAAGGGATGGAATGTCTGATATTTTTCATGCAACCTTTGAGTTTATTGTTTTTGTTTCATTGAGGGATGAGAAATGACTGTACATTTTCCCCTTTTAACTTGTCCTTGCTCTGCCATTTCCTTGAAGAATGTCAGGCAGCATTCTCTACCTAATACCCCCAAAGAGTTAAAACTCAAGGCGCCGAGCAGGAGGGCTAGTCTATTTAAGCATCAGCAGCACAAACTAAATGCTCACAAAGGCAAATAGTGTGAGTCGACCTTGGAGGGGCAGGGTGGATTATAAAGCAATTGAAAAAGAAAAAAAAATAAAGCAACAATCTTTGCTACAATACTGAAAGTCTGCTTGCCAGTCTGGTTTACAAATAGGCATTGTTTGATGAGACAAAATAAATGAGAGATAACTACAGCATGAATTACCAAGCCCTAATCACATCACCGAGTCCTGGTGACAGCACAGATCATTCAGGCATGCCTCATTCACTCTCGGCATATTTATTTATTAAGAAGACGGTGGAGCCTGGCTAATGCTAATGCAATACAAAATGATATCACCCATACGCTCGAGGTGGTCACTCTACTAACATGTTTCCCCCCTAATCAAGTCCAATTTAATTGACAAATTGGAGCCATGATTTCACACCTGAGAGTCTTTCATGTCTTAACTGCAGGATAAAGTTCAGGGTAGGTACTGCCCACTGCTTACTTACCTGGGCTTGCCTCTGGGCCCCTAATGGTCATTTGAGCACACACACACACACATAAAGCCTAAAGTATGTAACCAATTCAAGTCCAATTATTATCAGTTACGTTTCATTTCTTTTCAAGACTCAGGCCTCCTAATGGCAGCTACACAGAAGAACAGAGCTTCTAAAAGTTTAAAAAAAAAAGCTCCGAATGCAGTCTATAGAATGCTGATCACCCTCAATATAAAATAAAATATACAAGGCAAATTAAAAATAAAAATAAACAAACTCTCAGAGACTCTGGTAGGTGCCCTACACCTTCCCACACCCTTCTTTCATCCTATACGATTAAAAGTTTGAGTCACCCCACCCTGGCACATCCTATCCAGTGGGAAAAACCCTTTTAGAGCCACAAACAAAGAACAGCTCACTAGAAAACCTCCTGAAATCGTATTCTTGTGCCTGATAATCACTGTTGTGATCTGCTTTGTAAAAACCGTGCCCATCTGCAAAAGACTCTCCTCATATCAGGACCATTTATGCTGCCAAATAACAACAAAGGAACCGAACTCAAGTGAAACTATTATCTCTCCTTAAAGAGAAAGCTACAATTCCCGGGTTTGCTGCTTTCTTACATCTTCGTCTGCCTCATTAACTCCATTGGTATGTCACTAATTTCAAAGAAGCAGGAAGAGGTGATGGGGGTGGGGGTTAAATCATAATTCACACGCCTGTCTGCTTCCCATCCCAAGTGCAGAAGGATACCACGCTGATTGCCAGAACGTGGGTCAAGCCATACCTTGGTTTGGAGATAATGAGGATAGTAGTAAGTGTACTGGGGGTACATTTGTGGCTGATCCAGGCGTTTGCCCATGTAGCTGGAATCTTTATCTCCGAGGCAGGGAACTGGATGACAGGGTATAGTGCCCCAGGCCGAGCTTCCTCTTAAACCACTATTCCTGACAGTCCCGGTGACTGATGAGGCTTCAGAGACTCCACCACTCGCTAGTTCCAACACAGCAAGAATTTTTTTAAAAAACAAAACAAA